GGGGCTCCATTTGGCCGCCGCTACTCCCCGTCTAGGTCCCTTTCACTCCGATTTCCCCCGGGCAGCCCTTTTTTCCTTGCGGCCCTCCTGGAACTTTATTTTTCTTGGCCCGGGTGGCCCCTGACCATTTCGGATTGTCAGCCAGGCCTCCTTGCCGCTACTGCTCTACTTTTCCCGCGGCCTCCCGCGCCGGCGCTTGCCGCGGCGGTGCTTGGTGTACTTTTCCCATCCTGACCCATGGTCCAGCTGGGACCGTCCGCAGGCGCCACCTGGCTATTTTTACCGTCTACCCCATTCAGTTCAGGACTCCTCAGGGGCATCCCAGGTCCTTTCCGAATTTATCGCGTCACCCCCGCTCCTTTTCATTTTGCCAGTGATTCTCCATCGATGCCCCGACTTTTTCTTGCTTTTCCGCTAATCTTAGTTCCTCCCGTCTTTTCCGGCTTCGCCCTAGGTGACGTTCCTGTTTTCCCTTGGTCCGTCTGGCGTCCTCGTCGTCCAATTGCTGGCTATTTCGCCGACGTCTTCTGATACTTGGTTCTTCGTGGCCTCCTGATACTTGGTTCCGTCGACTGTTCCTGACACTTCCCTATTCATAAGCTGCGTCTTCCGCATTTGCGTATTCGTAGTCGTCTCTCCTAGTTTTGCCAGCTTCCCTCGTCGTTTTCTACCCGATAGGCCGCTCTCCCCAGACGGCCCGTCTTTTCCGCGTCTCGTCACTGCTCCCGATTTTGTCTGATATGCACAAATCGGCCAAATCCAAGTTCTCGAGTGACGGGAATTCATTCGGGACCCATCGGTCCCGACACATTCCCCCCACTCATTCGCGATGTCCTTATCGCGCATTAGTCCATAGTTAGTAGGAATCTAGAGGCACGGACGGGGGGGGCGGAGGGGAGGGTCAAGATGGGCGATTAGCTTGCCAGGGTCCTTTTTGTCTTCTTCCCAATCTTTTCTTGGGGGTTCCTTTTGTCTTTACCCCCTCAGGGCGAGGGAGGGTATGGGGGTCGGGGGTTTCCTCTTCAAACTTTCTCCTTCCTTCCTACAGCTTAGACAAAGCTGCTCATTTTCGTCATAGCTCTGCCTTTTTATCTTCCCCGCCACCGAGACACGAGTTTCCTTCTCAATCAACTTTGTATACCCAGCAGGGCAGCCCGGCGTTCCTTTGACTCCAGTAACACGAGGCAGGTGAGGCTCTCCTTGCTTCCTGCTCTTAATTCCGAGCAAACGGACTTCCTCCCCGGGATGACCATTCGTCGCCCTAGTCCGGTTGGTTTTTACTGCCTTGGTTTTGCTGATAACAATTGTAGGCAAGTTTTTGGATGTGACTCAATGTCAGACATCTGCTCCGGAAGGGGGGTGTTCGTCCAGTACCACCGCCGCCTTTGCTGTGGTGATACCCACTTCGAATTGATGAACACAGGCACAACTCCCCTTAGCTGCATTATAACCTTGATTCCATTTCTCCACCACTCCCCACTGCTCCCTTTTTTCCCCTGGGTCATTTTTTTCGGCCTTTTCTCAGGTCCTGCCAATCCTGCCCGCGTCTCACCCCAATTACCTCATCGCTCTGTCGTTCATTACCCCCTTCCCTTGTGCTTTCGTTTTGCCCGTTTTCTTTGATCCTTTGTAGATTTTGGAAAGACCGTCATTTTCTTCCCCCCCCACTCAGATACAAGAATCCCCCCCCTTCCCTCTTTTCTTCATTCCATTTTTACTTTGTTTTCTTTATTTCCCCTCGGCGGCTCTTTTGTGACCCGGCTCAACCACGACCAAAGGCAATTTTCATACTCCATATGACCGGCTCCTTTATGGCCCAGCTCAACCAAGTCGAATGCAATTCTCACAATCCATCTGACCAGGCACCTTAATGGCCCAATTCAGCCAAGTCCAATGCAATTCTCACAATCCGTCTGACCAGGCATCTTTATGGCCCAATTCAGCTAAGTCCAATTCAATTCTCACAACCCATCTGGCCAGGCACCTTTATGGCCCAGCTCAGCCAAGTCCAATGCAATTTTCTTGTCCATCTTTTCTTGGGCCTTTTATTTCTTTGCACGCTTTGTCCTTAGGTAGATGGCACACCTTCCCCCCACTCAATCGCGATGTCCCCATCGCGTTACAGGTTCTCACTTGGAGGCACGCAGACCTTGCCTGCCGACTGAGTAAGCGGATGCCGGCCCATCAGCAAGAGGAAGGGTGATCAGTCCTTCCCTTGTTGATAACTCACCTCATCCCCTACCCTAGTCCGGTGGCCACCAACTCGGAGATAGGCATCATCATTAAGGTGCCTCCTTGCAGCCGTGAGACAGGTCTAGTCCCTATCTCCCAGGACCCCATCCTGCCTGAGAGTGGCTCCCTCGCGAATCGTTCCTCCCAAAGTGGTATGTTTTGCGAATCCGGCCTCATCCAATCCAAGAGAGTTGGGGCTCTCAATTAGTCCGCGAGTGCAGTTACAAAGACCTCGCAATTAGTCCCGAAACGGTTGTAATGCTCCGGCAGGGCAGTGTCAATGCCCCGTGGTGGCCGCAGACTCCACCCGGTACTCCGCCAAGCCCCTCCCCTTGGACAGTGCCACCCAACTTAGTGCGGGCAGCCGAGGTCCGACCCAAACGGCCATGGCACCCCTCTATGACATGGCGTGTGGTTGGAGAGGACAAAATAGACTAGATGAGAATGGCTTCCTTGCCCATTTGGCTCGCTCGCCCTTTGAGGTTTAGGCATTCAATAGGAGGCGCAGTTTGAACTCCCCGACTAGAGCTCATTGTCAGGGTCAGTTTCGGACGTCCCGCACCGATCCAAGTGGTAGGTGCCTTAGTCCTTTAACCCTCATCCTCTTAAAGGAGGAGCAGGTCGCGCTGAGACTTTTTCCCTCAAAGGGATAGAGGTCTTGGGGTCGCGGTGCGTGCACCGGTATCCCCCTCTCGCTGAGGCCAAAGACTAGAAAAAAAGAGAAATCCATTTCAATGCCATTTCCAAGTCCATTTCAAGTCGCCTAGGGTCCCCTGTTTATGCAATGCAATTTCCAATACTCAATCCAATTCCAA